TTAGTCCTGGCAACTGCTTCCTATCTTTCCAGATGATTCCAGCCAGCTCTTTTTGTGTTTAGCTTATTGTCGAATGCCATCACAAAGACTTGGGGTATTAATCCTGTCATCTGTTCAGTGTGTGGAACTGCTGAGTGGGCTGCACAGTGAATGAGAAGCCGTAGGTGCTAGGAAAAAGGGGTATGGTGTGTAGGTGTGTTTGGAGCACATTCAGAATTCATGCCTTTCCCTGCACTGTATGAATGTGAAAATTTCCCTCTGTGTCTTCAGCAGTCATCAGTAACGGGATCGTGGAAGTGCAGAGGTCTGATAGCGTTGGGAAGGCAGGAATGAAACAGGCTGGAGTGATGGAGGGGCATAGCCCTTCCCTGCACGCATGTGTGGTTGCCTGCGTGCTGTTGCTCTGCTGAAGGAGGCTCTGAAGGAGTCATGTGTCTTGCTCAGAGCAAACAGAGTGGTAGATTCAGCACTTAGGATTGAGGCCAGAATATAATAAAATGACTAAACCAATACGACAGCTCCCAAGGTCACGGGTGTTGAATATATAAGGATTCAGTTTTGAGTCTTGCAGGCTGAGTCCATCTCTAGTGAGCAGAGTGTCACCACCACAAAGGAGCTGGCACTTCTTAGATGCTGGCTGCATGTTGTACTTTCTTCTGTGGCAGATCTGGTTTAGCAGCATCTGTGAAACCCAAACTCCATATCATGCAGACTGGCTCCCACTAGAGCTGCAGTTCTGCACTGTGCTGCTTTGACAGCAAATTTAGCTTGAGAACTTCCTACTCTGAATGACTTGTGTCTGCCCCCATACTGTGATTATTAAGTAGTCTGTGTGATTGCCCTTTAAACTGGATCCATGATATGGTACAAGGAGGAAAAGCTATTTCCCTCAAACCCACCCACCCACCCCCTGCCAAAGTATTTGTTTTTAAAAATAATGATTTCACAGATCTAATTTGGAATCAGCACAGCTGAGGGGGCCATAATGAGTGTAAATTGGGTGATAGGAACTTCTTAAACCAGAGCAGCTGCCAAAGGCATCTTAACATGGAATTTCTGCTGTAACAAGAGACAGCTTGGCAGGCAAGGGTCAGCAGCCAAATAGCTGACTCCAGGCTTGTGGTTTCCCACCTGGGTGCTCAAATCAGCACTCCTTAGGTCCTGCAGCTTTTAGATGCCTCTGTGCTGAGCAGAGCACCCAGGAGTGGGGAAGGTTTTTGAATGTGAGTAGTCAGGAGGAATAAGCTGTTGTACATTGTACATCTCAAAAGCTTGTGTTGTATTTCAGAGGGCTCAGGCAGGATGGGGACGAAGAGTTTTGTTGCTGGCATGTACAGATGTGTTTCCAGCCAGACAATGAGCATTAGCAGCGCAGAGCTGGGACTGTTTCAGTGGGAAACAACAACAAAAAATCCTTTCCATTTTTTTCAG